TTATTTTTTTTCCACACCTTATAAAATCTGAAAGTGAAGGTTGAGAAGTTAGTGTGTAAGTGGTTACAGTCTTCTAAGGTTGTTCTTGACTTGACTTTTTCTCTCTTCACTGAAATTATTCTTTAAGTTCATCACAGTCAGAGCACCCCCCAAAGGGGAGGAATTAAATGATAGATAAAAAATTACTGTTAGTCTAATCTTCTTCCTCATCTGTATCAGGAACATAAACTTGACCACCATCAATATCTGCAGCAAGCAAGGTAGGATCATAGCAGCGTTGGAAGAAAAACCGAGCTTTCTTTGATGGTCGTGGAGATGAAGGCACAACTTCATCTTCTTCATCTTCATTGTCTGAAGCAGGAATAACAATATCATTTATACCATCTCCATCAGACTCTGCTGCATCGAGAGATTCCTCAAAACCATCAAGAGGATTTCGCCTTGGGCGTGATAAAGATGAAGATGACCCAGAAGTTCCAACAACAGCTCTAACACTAGAAGTGGCTGATGTTGTACTTTGTTGACTTGTTCCATTCGGCAAAGTCTGTTCTGATCGTGCCTGTTGTCTTTGCACAGCAGATAGTCTATTGGTATTGGACGTAGCTGTTGTTGATTGATTTGTTTTACTAGAATTTGCACCACCTAAACAAGAAATTACATAGGAATTCATAGTTGGAGTCATTTTCAAAAGAACAAAAACAATTTAGTTAAAATAATTAACAAGCAACGTACTTGAACCTCCCCATGCTTCATCAAGGCTGCGAGGATTTTTGCTTGCAGTTTTCTTCCGAAACTGTACTTGCTGATCTCGGCCCTCAGATGATTGAATGGGTGTGAGAAGTTGTTGTGAATCAGAGCGACTTGCATCACAATCTTCTGGGGCAAGGCTGGACAGCACAAACCGTAGTTCAACAGTGGAGGAGTCACTAATAATTACAACTGGGCTAGAACAATATAAATCAAGATAATCAGAAAAGAGTTTTATACTTTTGCACATACAGATCAACAATAGTTTACCTCCCCGGAGACGAAAATTTCACAGCTAGAGGTAGATTTAGAGGCTCAGAGAAGAAAAGAACAGCACGAAATGCCTTCAGGCAAAATGTTATAGAAGTCTGTTGACCAACAATAAATGAGACAAATTCACCAGAATCAAGTTTTAACTCGGATCTCACTACACCAGTTGGATCTGAAACATGTAGACGATTTGAATTAATGTACTCATGGAAAGTAACAGGACTTAAGTGAGACAAATATTTGTAGGTATGCAATTTGTCTACCTGTTCCACCAGGAACATAATTTCTTAAAACGGCTGTGCGTTCTTCAACAGCTAAAGTTATGTCTCTTTCAGTCATCTGAAAGTTTTTCACAGCAGTTGCGAATACATCAGCCCCGATAACCAAATGATTGGGAACTTCATCTACAGTGTACAATGCCTTTAAAAATATGAAGATAGTTAGAATACCAGATTACATCAGCAAAAAAATAAAAATAAAAGGTGTACAAACCTGTAATGTTTCTGTTTCTATTACTGGTAAGCGGTATGTACGAATCAAACCATGATGGCACCGAAACTTGATCTCAAGCCATGTAGGTTCAATTTTGAGAAGACAAGTTTCAACTTGTTTTCTGATACAGGCAAGTGACCTGAAAGCCGCTAAATAAGACTGAAAGTGAAACACAATAAGACAACAGATTGTCAAAGGAAAAGTAACTTACACTAGAATAATTTTTCTATTGCAATCACCCACCTTCATGTTAATTCTACATTTTAAAGCATCATCATCTTCACCTTGACCCTGGGACTGGACGGGGCAATTATAGTAAGAAAAGAATTGATTGGTAAAATGAACTTCAGCGTAAACTGAATGGTTGGAATGGACTGTACGAAATGTAAGTCCTCCATTCAAAGGTTCTAGGTATAGCTCATCTCCGATTCGGGCAAGGGAGTGTAATGCCCTTCCAAGTACTGTAATGACAAAAAGACGAAGGATTACAACGCTGTTGGGTAGAAAATTTCCATTTGTATTAAACTCAACACTAATAACAATCTGATAGTTAGGTTAGACGGCTTACTTTCTACGTTTTGCTTCGGAACCACGCACATCATGTTGGTGTCAGATGGTTGTACGTCATTCTTGTCTCTACTTCTTCGTTTGTGCATTTCGTCTGTTCAATGATAAGCTGAGTTAAAAGGAAATTTTCTGTAAATGTAGCTTCTACAAGTAGCATACAAAACTTCAAACTTCAGGAAAAAGCCCTCCACAGACGAATTTCGTTGCGTCTTTGTTTGTTTACAAATTCTAGGGCTGTTCAGAAACATTTTTATTTTGTACTGCTCATGATCAAAGATTCATGACTGTTCCATGTCCCTAAAATATAGTCCAATAAAAATTGAAGTATATATACATAAAGTCTGAATGTAATCATAACGCTGAGAACAAAAAAAGTAAAGGGGAGGTTCGGTTGGTTTGTCTGATAAGTGGAGATTTCCAACTGTCGCCGCTAAAGCGCTGCGGTCGGCGCGCTAACATCGCGACACATTTGAAACATGCTTAATGGTGTCAGATTAGGCCCTCAAGTTAGGCCCTTGAGAGAAGGCCTCACACTACGCAGTTCACTGGGGGGGGGGGGGGGTCCTCCGGGCGAACGGGTCGCGAACGAGCGAACGAACAGGCCTCACACCGAACTCAGTTCAATGCTCCTATTATAGGTCCTTTAAATTCTGTAATGTTTGTAAAAACCAAATACTGTAAAACACAAT